CTGCATACATGGTGAAAGGGAAATGCAGACGAGACCTGTTACCCCAGTTCACTGTACAACGTGAAACTCGAACAGAGGATTGCGGAGGCGGAATGCACCGAATGCGATGGTTTTACAGACTGCTTTGGGATGGTGGAAACGTCGCTTATCATGACTACATGAAGACCGTGCTGACCAAGGAGGAGATCGAATCAATGATCAATCCAACAGCAACAACTGAGTATGTCGGCGACATTTTTGAATTCTGGCTTGGAATGCTTGATCTGGGTATTCAATTCCCTACTATGTTCGCTGGATGGGGGGCAAACCTTGACAGTTGCCTCGCAGGTCTGGAAGAGTCGTTTTGGCTATTCAGCAGTTCATGTCGACCTACCGACACCATCAACACAAAGCGAAACCGATCCAGGAAAGCATACATCCCGCCGGTCGAGAATGACATGGTGATTACAATCTTGAAAGAAGCAGGAATTTTTGACCTACTCATGCAGAAGAAGATCACCAGAATGCCGGTGCTTCCAGAAGCCAACTACGATGACCACCCTGAAATGATTGAGGTCTCATCAAGCGATGAAGAGGTGGATGAAGTTGATGAACCTGATGAGGAGACCACGACGCCTACGGCGCGGGGCCCTCGAGCAGAACAAACTTCAGGAGAAACCGATGCCGGAGCTGGTGACATCGAGATTGAGGAGGAGGAAGATGGCATGGGGGGACAACCTTCAGAAGCGAAGAAGCGCCGAACCGAGGTGCGTGACATCCGTGATCGTTTTGAGAAGCTGATTTCAGATGCATTGGATGTTCAATATTGTTTCATTTGTGGTGGAAGACATGGCATTGACGAATGTACTACACCAGATGATGAGAACATGAAGGACACCATATGGCGCATGAGGCTGATCATGGATCAGAAGTCCAAATCCCCATCATCATCCGAAAGATCCAAAGCTGCAACCAGAGGCAGAAAAGACAAGCTCCCAAAGAACGTCATGCCACGAGGAAAGCGTTGGGGAAGAACCAGATTCACTGAGAAAGAGGAAGTGACCAAGTGCTTCTACAGTCAGTCAGCCTTTATGTACGACATTGGTGATCGTGAAGAAGGAGGACAATACTTAGTGAATGGTGTCGAAGTCAACCCAATTAGCCGAGGTGTGAAGAATCGTCATGAGCTTGACTTGCTGATTGAGCGTGCGGCTGAGGAATCTCCACCTGTTTTGCCGACCATTGAAGAGCTGAACGCTTGGAACCCCCTTGATCATGATGCTTATGTAAAATGGCTTACTGAAGAAAGAAAACAACATGGAAACAACTGGAATTTCAAGTACATCCAACCATTCACACACGGCCACAACATCGGTAAACTTCAACTTGCCCGCATCAACGGAGAAGAATATCTTGGAATGGGCTGGTGCAAAGTGCATCGATATGGCGAGAATGAGTGGATGGGCAACAAGTGGGAAAATCCGCCATGGATAGTCGAATTGTCAAAAAGGTTCAATGCAGCGCTACGCCACTCCGTGGGTTGCGTCAGAGACAATCGAAATCACCGTGGACTACCATGCGACGAGGCAGGTTGGGTCAATGTTGAGTCGATCTTGAAGTACGATGCCATTTGGAAAGACCAACATACTTTGGCTGGAACGGCCTACGTCAACTACCCGATACTTGTTGAGAGATGGAACAACTTCCAGAGAGTGATCTTCACTGAGTACAAGCAAACGAAGAGAATCCGAGCACAAGTGCTAGGACTCAAGGTCACGAAAGGTGAGTTGGAACACATCATGAACAACTTCAATGATGGATTGACCTCTAGACTTGATCGACAAACACTGAGGATGGAGATCGGCACAGCAGATCGAGAGATTTGGCTTTGGCCGGTGGCAATCCGTGCCCCTATGGCGCATTCAAGAGTTCAAGGCGGTGTGCACATTGAAGACAAGAAGACTTCATATCAGATGAACCCTGGAGTAGGATACACTCTTGGAGGAGGATTTCATTGCACCACATTTGACAACATCGCTCAAATCTTCAGAGAAGGACTACGTCCAGGAGGAGGAGGCGACCGCATCAATACGTTCTTCGTGCCGTTCGCGCCGTGGGATGTGAGAAGTCAAATGGTGCTGAGATTCAGGAAGATTGATCAAACTGATCTTGTCTACATCTACATCACGTATGATTCCATCGCCAAGTTCTCCCCTCGATTATCAGCAGACGGACACATTTTGGTCCAAGAAACAATTCCATTCGAATCATTCGACGCGGTTTGGTATTACGACTGGAGAGAAAAGGACTATTACCGTCTCATGATCACGAAGGGAAGAGATCAACTTGTTCTTTCTGTGCAAGGCGCGAAGAGGGTGGCCACCATTGAACGATTTGACAAGCTCATTGGAAACATTGTGCCTGAAGAATCATCACCCGATCTAGACGAACTTCGAAAACTTGTCGATATCAGGACCGGTCACTTCAGTCATACTCACAGATTGTTCCATGGACATCCGGATTGGAATGATGCAATTTCATTATTGGCAGTCACTCATCGTCCTAGCAAAGAGGACCATCGACTATGCCCCGCATGTCTGATGGAGACCCCTGCGCCATTATCGATTTGTGTGATGTGCAAAGGATTTTTGGTGAGTCATGGATGGAGGAAACGAATCAAGATCACCGTGGCTACAGTACCAAAGGCCGAATCACATCATCGAGAGGAAGATCTCAAAGACCATGTCAAGAAAGCATGGGAGGAGGTGAAGATCGATTTGACAGGTGATGATGATGACGACGAGGTGATGCCAGATGATGATGATGTCACCATGAAGAGTCCAGAACAAGAGACTCAACCAGAAGAAGGAGATGATGATCAAGCCTTGAAGAAGGGCGACATCAATGATGAGAAAAGAGACTTCAGAGAAGAAGATGAGGTCGACAAATTTCTCAATCAAGAGGGAAAACCGACCGATGAGAATGATGATGAAGAGAAAGCGGTCGATGAAATCAACATTGAAGAGTACGAGGCTGGAGAAGCTCGCGATGCAGTGATTGAGTACCCCAAGTGGATGCAACGGATTGAGTTTGGATCAAAGGTCCTGCCGATCGAACCTTGCACAATTGGAGATGCTCAGCCAGAATTCATCAAGATCCTCCTGTTGCAGATTGGATTACATATCGTCAGGATCTACAGACTATTCCAACGGAACTTCTGTGGAGATATCGAGACGGCATGGAAACATTTTCAACAGAACCAGAAATTCAGGATGGACCTGGACTCAAGGACACCTTACCTGGGCGAGGATGAAAATGGTGAACTCATTGAACCAACTGCACAACAGATGAAAGAGCTCTACAAAGAGATCGGCCGACCAAATCAAAAGGACGACATCGGAGAAGAGGGATTCGTCAATGCATACTATGGGGCAGTGGTACTCAAAAGACTTCTCATATATACCCTTGAATGTGGCTACACGTATGATGACTTGCAAAACATATTCTTTGATGAGGAGATGGAGAAGCTGTCGAAACGTGACACCACAATGGATGAGATGAGAAAGACCACAGCGGCCCGCGACGCCCTTGACCGACAAGACGTCATGGTCAGAAGAATCATTGCAGGTGCATATAGGGTAAATGCTGTTTATTTCTTCAGGAACGTTGACTTTCAAGACACAATCACACTGAATCCAGTTGACATTGTGTGTGCTCTTCGTCCACCACTTCGAAGAATATCACTTTTACACCTGATCCTTCAGAATGGCCGACAATTGCCGCGACCTCTACTCCAAAAGCTATATGATGCGATCGACGATTACAATCACATCAAGCAACGGGAAGATCAACGACCAAGGTGGGGCATCCACTTGTCTGAAGCTCACATACTTGCGATTGCTGATACCCCGACTCCTGCTGATCGTGAACGTACCAATCCAGCCGCTGGCAAATCGAAAGCAGCCCCGAAAGCTGCACCAGCACTGGGAAGAGTGTCAAAAGCGAAAGCATCATCGTCAGCGACATGGAGAACAGTTGAAACCGCTCCTCAGCCAAAACAAGCTCCAGTGACCCCGCCAAAGAAGGGTGGAAAAGATCAAGGAAAAGGTGGAAAATCTTATTCACACCGTGGCGGAGACTGGAACCATCAGGGATACTATGGATGGGGATACAGATGATTAAGCGATCTGACCTCTGCATAGGTCCTGATTGAACCTGGCGATGCGAGGATGCAATCATTGCTCGAGATTTACCTCTACTTCATTTTGAATGATTTCTGAGAGGACTCTGAGCCGGCTAATTTAGAACCACACATTTTTTTTTTAACACCATTGCATGAAACGCTGAGTTTCTACAGCGGTCTACGTCTCAACCGACGAAGGGACGGGAAGGTAAACTTCTAGTTCCATAGTCAACTTCGTGTTTTGATTTTTTTTAATTCACATGCTTGAGTGAGACTCCATGCTGGCTACGCCACATTGGACGAACCTCAATGCTAGACACCGACTACGTCGTGTCTGCATGCACGTGAGCAGAACCTTTATCTTTTGGTAGAGATTGTAGCAAGCCGCCATGTAGATATGAAGTTCTGAACGGACTTTAGCTCTCTATAATTCAATAAATGAACAGCTGCAGATGTAGTGGATCAATTCGAGGGACACTCCTTTGCGCGTGGCCGACAAAGTTGGCCATGCGTGGGGGGTGCGAATAGAGTGTAGGCTACGGGTCAGTGTACATTATCACTATTAGGCACTCTAAGATCCAAAGCCGAAGGGGTACATGAAACCGACCTCTTTGGCTCAAGACCCACTGCAGCGTCAGAGAAAACAATTGCAACGCGGAAGCTGATGCCCTTGTAACGTCATCACTGGAACATCTACTTTGACATTGACTATCAGGACATAATCGGACAGACAATCACCGATTCGCATCTTCCATAATCTTCCATCTATTTAATCCAATTATAAATTCTAATTTTTGTTTTGATTTGCTTTGTTTGTTTTGTGGTTTCACGGTGGAAGGACCAGTGGCTGGCGAAAGTTTCTAGCTTTGCTGATGCAATCAGGAGCGACTTGGTTTTTGATTGGCTGGGTTATTGGCGCTACTATCGGAGCAGTGCTGGACATCATGGACGTCCTTCCTCCAACTGCCAGTCGCTGGAGCTTACTAAGCCTCAGCTTTTTCTCCAGGAGTTTTCTTATTGTTTGATTTGAGATATTGAGGCAGTGTTTGCAAAGGAGAGGCTTCCTGTATTTCTAGTTGAAAGGCTTGAGATACGAGCTGCAGCTCCTTGCTGAAAGTCACTTGGTAAGTGAAGTGCAGGGACAGTGTTTCCTTGGCATTTGGCTACCTGGGAAGAATTCCATAGTTAGCAGGATCGGTTCGTGCCCCTGTCTCAGGCTATGAATGCATGGATGGAAATTGCCAGCGAGGAATTTGGATCAGGTGCTTTGGTTTCTTTGGATCTGCCATTGGCCTTTTCGCATCTCCTTACGCACCGAGTTTCTTCGCAGGGACACACATGTGCTTCTTGGACGTTGTGAGCATCAACCAAGTTGATCCGGAACTCATGGATCGCGGGATCTACGGCTTGGGCGGATTCTTGGCCGCCTCGTCCGAGCTCCGCATTTTGTGGTCACCACCATATCTCTCCAGGCTCGCTGTCGAAACTTGTGAAGGTGGCGAACAGATATTAGCAGATGCTAACAGTAATGATTAATGGATTGTTGCAATCTGTTGCATACACTATACATACTATACCGACTGTACCAGACCAATTCGTCTTGATTCATCTTGACTTTTCTTTTCAAATCTCCAGACAGATTCCAGTCATTGCAGCTCACATCCAGGTTGTGGTGTGTCTTTGAGCTCGCCGCATTCAAGAAAGCGAACCCAAGTGGGAAAGTGGTTCTGAAGCCACTTTTCCTGGAAACATTGATCTTCTCTATCATTCTGGCTATTTATGGAATGGTGGCTGTTGAAGAGATCAGGTTCATGATCCGGCTCAATCGGAATTCGAATGGTGAAAGTAACGGAGACACTGATTCCGCGGATTCCTCTATCTTTGGAGCTGGTGGCATTGAAGCCCTTGTGGGAGGTCTTCTTTTGCTACCAACAATTCCCATGCTCCACATCATCCGCAAGCTCTTCAGAGAAAAGAAAGAGCTGATCAGCAATTTGCGAAGCTTTGACTTAGAAAAGGTGGGTTGCCGCACCAACCGTGACAAAAACTTCATCCACTCTGGGATTCGAGCGTGGTATGGAAGCACTGATGCTTTTGTCGAGCATGTGAAAGGCCCTTTGGCAGATGAACTTACAGAACCATTCCAACGTACCGATCTTCCGACCACCAGTTGGCTTATGGTTGCAACACCTTTCGTCGCAGCAACCTTGGACTTCTTTGTGAACCAATGTCAATCCACTGGCGTCCCAAAAGAGGGGCTCTTTTGGCTCTTTTTGAACCGCGCCTTTCCTGCACTTAGCTATGCTGTTCTAAAGCATTGAAGATACAGATATTATCATATATAGTATATACATAGAATGATATATTATGATAAAGTCTATACATATTATGATTATACATTGACATGGGGAAGTGTAATTTGCTGTACGCTCACCAATCCTCTACCCTTTTCATTTTGGCAGCAAGTCGCAGCAAGAACATGCAAGAACATTGAAGAACATGCAAGAACTACAGTGCAGATTTGGCAATGCCCCTTTGTGAATCTTTGTGAATTCTTGAGTAGAGTTTATGTGTAGAATGTTTATGAATGTTTGATGTGCAGGCGTGGTGTCAGCAAATTTGTCCATGCTGCTACAACTACGCCTGGCACTTTACCTTTGTGACCGTTTTGCAGCTGCAGAAGCAACCACGGTGCGCGACTTCGCAAAGAGCATGTTTTTGTGGCTTGTGGAGGGTGCAGTAATTGCAGGCTGGAGAGCTATTCTCAACAGAGCCTTTCATTTTGCTTGGAATTATATTTTGCCTGGAATTATATTGATCTTATTTGGACTTATATTTGGACTATGGACGTTTAACTATTGTGTTTGGTCTGTTTGGTTCCACCAACTTCAGACACAATGAGATTCAATGATCCCAGCCTTCTTTTGGAAGTGTGAGGAATTCAGCAACCAGCCATGATTTTGACGATGTGCTTCATTGCAGTGTCGCTTATGCTTTTTGTCTTCGGGGCCCCTTGCTGGAGACGGTGTTGCCACAGCTCAAACTCTACTGAGCGAGACATGGATAACTCCGCCGTTTAGGGCCTCCACCTGAGACTGATTGAGTCCGAAGAGAGGCTTTTAAAGCAAGGATGAAACATGTTCACATTTGTACAGAATGCCGCTGCCATGTCCAAGACAGACAGTGGAATCTTGACTTGGATTCTCAGGACTGTGACAGAATTGTTGCTTGCAGTCCTGGAATCGGTTCTGAGCAATTTGTGAGGATGGTGTCGACTTGGGACGACACTACATATTTAGCTCACATTTTGAAGATCTATGTCTTTATACCGATATACATATTCGTTTTCGGGCTTCGCGATGTTTTTGGAAGACGAGTAACTGGAGAGAACCAGTAGACTTCCCCTCTTCCTGCGACTCAGTGCCCGCTTTCAAAGCAATGGTTGCTGTGCGTTCAACACGTGAGCGTCCACAGAAGGATATCGAAGCCTTTCGGACCTCAGAGATTCTTGCAGAGGTCCTCTTGCTTGCCTTCAGGGAGTGTATAAGGGAGTGTATAAGGGAGTGTAGAAGGGAGTGTATAAAGTGTGAAAACGAAAAGTTCAACACATACGATTAGATATAATTCTGTATATGCCCGCACACACACACATATATATATATATACATATATATATATATATCAGATATATCAGCAGGGACGGCCACACCCCCTTCCCCCCAGCCAGATGATTCCCTCCCCCCCTGTGGCCTGGGGGGGAGTCCCAAGAACAACAGTCAGACATGGGCAGTATTTGTGCAGCTGTAATTGGTTGATGTCTAGTTCATAGGGAGTATATGGAGAGTGTATAGGGGCCCTAGGGAGCTTACAGGGAGTATATAAACATATAGTATATAGGCACGCTATGCAATGAGTCGAATATAGGCACATAAGGCACGCTATGCAACATGTAGGGTGTAAGGAGTATATACTAGTAGGTAGTGGACGACCAATTATACACTACACTGCAGATAGTTATATGTTGGGTATTATATCTAGGTAGTGTATATATATATGTAGGTACATACTGCACCCAAGCATACAGTAGATAGGACTATATAGGTATGCATAGGTACGCTTTGAGTATATAATCTATAGGTAGCAAATATGTAGCATAAAGGCATACAATGAGTGGAAAGTCATGTGTGAGGTACGCTATAGGCAGTACATAAACACGTTTTGAGTAGTATGTGCCGCTAGATTGAAATGTTAGACATACAGCTAGACAGGGTCCAGTGACGAGGTTGTGGCTCTCAAATGCTCCAAATAGCATACAAATGGGAGGCTGTCTTCCATATGCTGTAAAATAGCGTACAAATGGGACGCTGTGCTTCCCAAATGCTGCAAATACGAAGGTTTGGGGCAGTGAAGTCGGGGGGACCATACCATTGGGGGGAGCGGGTGGGGTGTGGGGATTGGGGACCGGGCTCACATATATGTATGTCTATATGTATATTGTATATTGTATATTGTATATTGCATATTGCATATTGCATATTGCATATTGCATATTGTATATTGTATGTTGTGTATAGTATATGTATATGTATATGTATATGTATATGTATATGTATATGTATATGTATATGTATATGTATATGTATATGTATGTTTTATATTGTATATTGTATATTGTATATTGTATATGCATGTATATTAAAGTCGTTTGAGCATGTTTATGTATGTGTAGGTGTTCACTTGAAGCAATACATTGCATTTTTTCTTCAGGTTGTGGCCTTCATTCTGGAGATAGTCGCCAAGCACCACGTTGGCATTAGGGATTGATTGAACAGATTGGGCTTGGACCAACCATATAATGCATTCTCACCTGGCTTTACCACCGCTTTACACACCTCCAACAACTGTCCAAGACAATTCGTGCAGCACAGGGGGTACCTCTTGAGGTACAACACGGCTATGAGTTGCCCTCTGTTTTTTTTTGGTCTCCACCTGGACCACTTTGGACACTGGGTTCCACAGAATCGTCCACCGTATCCAATTTCTGGGTCAGCTGGGTCACCTCACACTTTTGCAAGCCCTGCAAGCCCAGGTTTGGTGTGAAGCTTTCAAAAGCATACATGCACAATGTGCTGGTGGATGATGTTGGTACCCGGCTCAATGTGGCATTTCAAACATGCCTTCCAGTTCAGTTATCCTCAGTTTCGCAGTTGGTGGAGAGTATATACTCTGATACTACTCCAAGGTTTGCCCGCTCAGCAACTGTTGATAGGTACAATGCCCATTATGGCTGCGACGGTTCTCATGCCGGGACTACACCTGAAGGCCGCTTTGGACGTTGGCAATTGCAGGTTGCTTAAGCCTGCAAGCTATGAAGACATGTATATGCCTTCCAGCATTTTACAGCCCCTCTGTGGCTCTGCAGTTTCATAGGAAGAAAACTCCTTTCAGTGCATTTTCCGGTCGATGAGTTATTTTACGGAGTTTGAACCCCTGACTTGTGCGCTGCATGGCAAAGGAGTCACACAGGGTTTCATAAGGGCCACCCGCTGGAGATTTTGCAGGTTGCTTTTGGACATCTAGAATGAAACTTGGGGTACTCCAGTCAATGGGAAAACTGCCACTGTGTTAGGGTCGTAGTGATTTTCAGCCCGAATTCACTTGGAATGTGACTTTATGGACCTTATCGTATGCGGCGTGGAAGTAGGTGCGGCTTTTGGCAGTGCTGCCTCTATTTCTGACTGTGACTTTGCTGCATATTTGGTGACTTTCCACATGCTGCAATATGTTATTATTGTAGAGCTTCGCACACCGGCGATGCCATAAGGGCTATGTATAGTAGTGTGAGCGTTGGTTTTGTTCATGTGCTCTGCGCGTGCGCGCAGGTGCAGAGCACAGTGTGACGTTCTTGTCAACCGCATCTTGTAACCATCTTACCACATCTTTTTGTCGCATTCTTGCGCTTGTTCTTCTTCTTCTTCTTCTTGTTCTTGTTCTTGTTCTTGTCCTTGTCCTTGTCCTTGTCCTTGTCCTTCTTCTTCTTCTTCTTGTTCTTCTTGTTGTTGTTGTTGTTGTTGTTGTTGCGACACAGCTTATACTGTATATTTTCGCATTTTGTGGACCCCTTAAAATCGTGAAATAGGTCGTATTTTCATGTATTTTCGTATTTTTCCCCAACAGCGTAAGCTAATGGGGTCTTCAACCCAGAATAGCTCCGGCGTGCACTGGTGCAGGCGCCGGGTCAGGTTCAACTAGGTTCCGGAGAAGGTTCCGAAGGTTCGGAGAAGGTCTGTGAGGCTTTGGTGCAGAGCCAGGTCAGGTTCAACAGGGCTCCGGAGAAGGTTCCGGAGAAGGTTCCGGAGAAGGTTCCTGAGGCTTTGGTGCAGAGCCATGTCAGGTTCAACAGGGTTCCGGAGAAGGTTCTGGAGAAGATTCCGGAGAAGGTCGGGGCGGTCGGGGAGGCTTTGGTGCAGGGCCAAGTCATTCCGGAGAAGGTCTGGGAGGCTGGTTCCGAAGAAGGTTCCGGAGAAGGTCCCAGGAAGCCTTGCAGGTGCAAAGCCCAGTCAGGTTAAAGGGGTTCGGGAGAAGGTTGCGGAAGCCAAGCCAGGTCAGGTTCATTTAATTCACGGAAACCCAGCTGAGGTGTTTCCAGCGCTTGGCTTCGCAGCACGCTTCAGAAAGATTTGTAAGAGTAAAATGTTGCGGCTGTTGGGGATACCACCGCAACTTATTTGACACTCTCGGAGCAAGAAAACATTGTAAATACCGCTGTTTTTTGCGCTTCGGAAACCCAAAACCACGGTATTTACGATGTTTTTTTTGCCTCTGGTAGAAAAAATCACGGTATTTACAGATGTTTTTTAGCCAGTGACCAGCAAAAACACTGGTACTTACGCAGTTTTCACCATGTTGCAAAATGTAGTTTCTATATGCGAAAAAGATAAAAACACACTGTATTTTTCGATGTTGTTGCTTCCCGAGCGCAGCAAAAAATCGTCAACAAATGGCCCTAAAATGGTCCAAAATCGACTTCGCGTCTTTTTTCCCGGCCCCGGACCCCCACAAACGTGAAACACCAGCAGAGTGAAGGATTTTGGGGGGTCGGCGGCAGGGGCGCGACCCCGGTAGCTAAAGCTATGTTTGGCGCATTGGTACACACTGATGGCATCGCCGGATTTAAGGGCTTACGCCTGACAGCCGGCTGCCAGCAGAGAAACGGCCTGAAGTCAGTGTAGGGAGCATGTTGCGCTCATGTTGAGGCTATGCTGGCGATATCTCAGACTGTCCCGGATTGAAGGGCCGCCCTTGGGCCCATGTTCGGCCAGGTTTGGCCAGGTTGGGCCCATCTTGGGCCTATCTTGGGCCCATGTTGGGCCTATGTTGGCCCATGTTGGCTCTATGTTGGCCCTGGGTTGGCCCACGTTAGCCCCATCTTGGCCTATGTTGGCCCTGTCTTGCCCAACGTCGCTGTCTGAAGCCACAAGAAACTAGCTCCAAAATGATTGCCCAAGCTTCCAAAACGGACCCCCTCGCCACACTGAAACACCATGGCAGTGAAGGACGGTGGCGCCTGCAGCCTGCAGGTTGTGCCTAACGTAGCTTTCTGAAGCCAGAAGAAACTAGCTCCAACATGACTGCTCAGGCTTCCAAAACAGACCCCGTCGCCACACTGAAACACAATGGCGGGGAAGGACGGATGGCTCTTGCGGCCTGCAGCTGGTCGTGCCTAACGTCGCTTTCTGAAGCCACAAGAAGCAAGCTCCAACATGACTGCCCAGGCTTCCAAAACGGAATTTTTCGCCACACTGAAATACCATGGCAGTGAAGGGTGGATGACGCCTGCAGCCTGCAGCCGGTCGTGCCTAACGTCGCTTTCTGAAGCTACAAGACAGCATGACTGCCCAGGCTTCCAAGCGGACCCCCTCGCCACACTGAAACACCATGGCAGTGAAGGACGGATGGCGCCTGCAGCCTGAGGCTTCCAAAACGGACCCCAGCGCCACATTGAAACACCATGGCAGTGAAGGGCAGTGAAGGACGGATGGCGCCTGCGGCCTGCATGCGGTCGTGCCTAACGTCGCTTCCTGAATCCACAAGAAACTGGCTCCAACATGACTGCCCAGGCTCCAAAATTTTGCTTAACTAGCTCCAACATGACTGCCCGGGCTCCAAGACTTTGCTTCTTGCTTCTTGCCCCTTGCTGCTTGTTATAACTTCTTTTTCTTTGCAGCTGTGATCCACTAGTTCAAATCTGAATTGCAGCCTTCAAGTTTCTTCTTCTTCTTCTCCTTCTTTTCTTCTTGGTTCTTGTCCCTTGCGGCCTGTATTTTTTTCTTGCCTTCTTGCTTCTTGCTCCTTGCCCCTTGCTGTTTGTTATAACTTCTTGCACCTTGCTGCTGGTAATGAACTAGCTCCAGATCCAAATTGCAGCCTTCAAGTTTCTTCTTTGTCTTCTTCTTCTTATTGTTTCTTGCTTCTTGCCTTCTAGCTCCAAATCCAAATTGTGGCCTTCAAGCTTCTGGTTCTTCTTCTTCTTCTTCCTCCTCTTCTTCTTCTTCTTGCTTCCTGGTTTCTTGCTTCTTGCTGCTTGCTGCTTGTAATTGCTTCTGCTTCTTGCCCCTGGCTGCTTCTAATGACTTCTTGCCCCTTGCTGCTGGCAATTTCTTCTCTGACGCGCTCCCCCTGCTGCAAGCGGGGTCGGCGGATATGCTAGTTCTATTTCTTTCTCCCATTCTGCTCCATGCTTTGCCATGTCTTGCGCTTCGCCTAGAAAGTCTGCAGCTAGGACACGGAGCCACTGTTTGGTTCTAAGAGTTGTATGAGGAGAATCTCACCAGCCACATGCGACGTGCCGAGGCACTTCTCAGTTTCGGCCAGATTTGCAAGTTCCACAGTGGGTGCCGTGGCAAGCACTCTTTCTGTGAATCAAACGCATTCCGTGACCATCCGTGAGCGTTCCGTGCTTACCTCCTTCTGCAGGGACTAGAATGCCGAAACCCCTGTGGTTTCTTGTGTTCTATGGTTGCGCATGGCTTCATGTGTGTCGAAGGGAATGCTGTGGTGCATCCTCTTTTTTTACAAAATTCTCATAGATAGGCTACAATTTGCCACTACAATGTGAAACCACGTTGTTTCATGTTGTTGTCCAGAGGGAGCACGGCGCTGGGATGGATGGCATTGGTGCTTCGAAGTCTGTGATAATTATGCAACAAAACACGGGCATCGAGTATCCTTTAATCGAACGTCATAAAATGAAGGGCTTCAGGAAGTTGAAAGTGTTTGCGAACCAGGGTGAACGATGGTGAATGTCTATAAATCGGTCAGAGAGTGTGAAGACATTGATACACCCCATGCTCATCACATATGAACTCCAACCAAAATTTACCTCAATGGAAAGTAATTAGTATTCGAGACATCTTTATTTTTTGGAAATTGAATTGGGGCTTGGAAAACGATAATACACTCTTCCAAAAACGATAACATTTGCTATATTCCCAAAACCTGAAAAACGAGAATTAATACACTCTTCAAAAAATGCATGACTCGGAGCTATATACAAAATATTGACCGTGGCCCATATCGTCGCACATGGTGGTGCATGGTCGCACATAGTCTTGCACGGTCGCAAATGGCCGGACATTGTTGGTTGTGCGGGCGTGCAGTAAAGTATATTACAGCATACTTGATTTCTACTTTTTTTTTGCAATGCAAAACAGATATTGCATGCCTTCTCGGTTTCATCTGAGGCTTCCAAGCATTGCCAGGGCCCTGGCGTCGCTTTTGCAGGATTTCAGGGATTGCTTTCATGTTGGACTTGGATTTCTGGCGCAAACATTTAGCATGGGTTCTTCGGGTGTCACTACTTTGAGTGTCAGTCTGAATGGCTCAAGTGGTACAAGCAAAGGCTTAAAAGCACTGAAGAACATCCATGGGAGATCCTTTGGAGAAGGTTTACATTTTTTTTGGCTTCAAAGTGCGAGTAAAGCAGGTGCTTGATGTTTCCGTCCTGAAGAAGATCGACCAGAATTCTCTATATTTTGTTCCCTGGCCAGCAGGTGTGTCATCTTTTGAGGATGAACTTTCAAGGATTGCGGAAGAACTTCCACTGTCCATTCGGGTCACCATTTCTGATTGGTATTTTATTTCCATCGAAGAAGGCATCTCTCTGTGGCAAGACTTTCTCCTGTCTCTCAAGCGGAGCCATGCTAAAAAGATCCGAAGATATTGCAAGAAGCCTCACAAGTTTCACTACACAGCAGCTTGGCTGGAACACTGGGCGGGATGGTATACGGATGGTGTTCTCTCTCTCTCTCTTTCATGTTGCACTTGTTTCATGCAGAATCATGACTAGTCATGGGGCACCTTATTTCATCTTGCTTGGTAGAGGTGACGCTCGAAAAGACGCAAAGTCTTGTGCCCAATGAACTCTTGGCATGTTACGACTTCCTATGTCAAACCATGCGGCACAACGGGGACACACACTTCTACACCAAGGCAGGAACCACAGAAATCAACCAATTGGGGGAGAGCTTGGGGGAGCTGGAGAGCTGTAAATGCTAAGGCTGCCATATAACACTGCTAAAGAATGCTTTCTTGTGACAAGTCTAGTGGTAGCTCATTGAAATTCGATTTTACAGCTTCCTTGCTTGAATCTCGAAACAAGTGGAGACAACTTTGAAACGCCATGACGTAACCAGATGTGAGTTGGAGATAGTTGAGGGTCGATAGTTGAGGGTCCAGTGAGTTGCAGGACTCTTTTGTCTCTCACTTGAATTCGCTGGAAGAGATTCTGGTTGCGCGCCATTGTGATGGACGAATCTTAGGTTTCAGAGCTAAATCAACTGTGGAGTGACAGTGGAGCACCAGGAGAAGTCCCACACAACTTCATATATTTCATACAAGTCAATTATTGCAGGGAAAAGGACGGAGTGAAAGATGACTCATAGTAGATATTGCTAGAAACACTGTACGAACGCGGGATGCTATCAGACTATCGGTAATTATCGAACAAATGCGAGAACTTCTGAGCCATCACATCGAGTTCAAGCAGGGCAAGAGCAAAAGACGGAACACAGTACACAGTACGCGTGCAATAGTGTATTTCCATGATGTTTATTTTGCTGTTTATTTTCAGGCCACATCATTTTGCGGCATGCCAAAGAGATTTTGTAAGTGCCCAGAATACAGTGGTTTAAACCACATCAATGTCTCACGTGAGCCGGCCAGCATTGCACAACCGACTCAACTACCAATGATTCACTGACTAGATCTGAGTCGGTAGAGTATGCGCAGTATGCACAGTATGCACAGTATGTACTTGACTCAGTGAAGTTCTCAGTCATCTTACCACTCTCACCACTCACCCAAGCATTCCTTCGACCACTCACTGGGCCCACTCGCTAATTCCCATGAATTCCTCATTTACTCAGTTATTCAATTCTTCACCTGTGGCGGCGGTGCTTACAGATTTTAGAACAAACACCACTCGCGCACTGAACGATTTGTTCACAATTGGCAAATTCACCCAGAAACTAGTGTCTTAGCCTTGCTTGTGCGCTCACAAGTCCTACTTGTTTATTTTGTTTTGTATTGAGGAAAGTGTGACAGTTTTGCATGCACAAATTCTCGAGCGATTCTCCGAGGTTTCTACAGTGGGGCAGTGATAGGCCATGACCATTCACCATCCTTTCGGAGTTATGGTGTGTACCACAATCTCTTCATCGAGCACGCTGGGTTCTCAGTGATCTTAATAATATATGTATTTATTCTGCGCTCTTTCTGAATCTCTAATGTTTTTTTAAATCTCTCTCTCTCTCTCTCTCCCTCCCTCTCTCTCCTCTGTCTCTCCCTATACGTGCGTACTGTACATGTATATATATATACATATATATATACACATACGTATGTATATATTATATATGTATACCTACTGAAACTTTTACCTCCTTTTTTAAGGGTAAAAAAGCAATAGGCATCTATTTCTGGAGCTATAGATATCTATTTTCAAAACCTAATTTTTCAACATCATGAGCAGATTTTATGTGGGTATTGATTCGGTAGGTATCGATTCCAGGGACTCCAGGAAAAGTGTGAGTTTGATGCATTTTGGTCATTAGTGTGGCCCAAATGTGAGAGCCACACACAAACGGTAGCATTTATCGCTCACGGATCATTTTGACACATATTTTGACCTATACTTCAACTGAACCAATGATGAATGGGTTGCCAGATGAATATAGGTGTCTGCCAATGTTTCCAAGGTAAGTGGCTGAATTGTTGCTGTTCAGTCCCCAAAAATGACTCATAGATTTCATTCCCGGGATGATCTTCTCCGAAATCAATTCCAAACACCATTTTGGATTTGTTTTACCCATAATTAACCGTAACCCGTAATGACCCGTAATTACCCCTGATCAACCCCCATAATTTACGCATATTTGGATGAACATAGATTCGACATAGATATCTAATTTCTGGGACAACCCATAACCAACCCATAATAAGCCACAATCAGTTTGTGGTTAACCCATCATGCACATTGAAATATACCAAAAAAATGACGTAATTTCCCTGTAAGTTGGTGTAATTTACAACCCAAAAAACATATGGGTATTTTTCCCACAAATAGATACCTATTTTTACCTTAAAAAAGCTATTTTTGTAAGGTCTTTGATGGATTATTTCAGATGGTGATTATGGCGTGTCGGACCGAACTCCTTGCAACAATTGTTTTTCCGAGTCAAACCAATTCGAGAACGTGCAAGTCTGCAACCCCACTCTAAAAGTTGAAATTTCATGGAAGGATCTGCTGGGAACAAGGCTCTTGGATATATGATATGCATGCCTGGAATCTGCATACGTGTGTGTATCTTTTCTTGTGGTTCGATGCAGCATTGCTAAAGATTCCCAAGAATTTGTGCGCTATCTTTCAAAAGCATTTTTGCTGTAGTGTGATATCACCGGAAGTGTTTCACGCCATATCTTTTGGTATTGGGGTTATGGCCAGAATTTTGAAGAAAACTAGGCTTTTTTCCTCTACCCCCAAAAAAAGAAGGTAATGGATTCCGTAGGTAGATAAATACACACAGTATTCATATAGACCAACAAATAGAGATAAAGATCGAGATCCATGAGAAAGGCCTCCTCGAGTCACACTATGTTCCACTTTCTCAGAAGTTCTTTTGTGCAGTGTCAGGTCAAATGTGGTCTGCAAGGAGGTCAGGGCAGCCGGGGAGCGAATTTCAAAAGAGGATGACGAGTTTCTGGCTCGTCAACACTACCAGTACAAGCATTCTTTTCTTTGATGCTTCCAAGAGACGTGTTTTCACTAAGGACGACTCTCGCAGAAAACACTGAAATAGCATGACTTGACTATCACACTTGTTGCTGGTCTGCATATGCAAATGCAATGCAAATCTGAAACGTTTCGAATAATCATTCGTGTGCTACTCGTACTGTAGGTATCTGCCACAGAGGTTTCAACAGCATGGGAACTTTGTTGGGTTGGCAGGTGACAAGATGATTGACCTTGGGAATGCTGGAGACTTCTTCAAGCATGAGCTTGGAGCAAAGGTGCCATTCCACTGCATGACATTTCAATCCATGTGGTTTAGCAGTTTCGCTCACAGGACCTTGTCCAGACTTTTCTTAAAACCGAGTCACCAAACTTCTGTTGCTTCACTGGCTTGATTTTTCAAACAATCGTAGCTTCCGAAACAGGCTTGGTCTCTCTGCACCGCATTCCAAAATGCTGCATTGAGTGTTCCGTGTCAATTTAAAAGTCAGATCGGCTATACATATAATATATATATATATATTACATGCACACAATTACATTCTTTTCGTATTGGTCGAAGACATTCGTGTTTGCCTTTTTGCATTTGTGTACATATACGCATCATAGATGTGCATATGTACACAATGTGTACCTTACTTGCACTGCTTGCACTATCTTGCACTATCTTGCACTATCTTGCACTATATCTTGCACTATCACACCATTGTCACGTCCCATCTCTGCCCTTTTAGGCCTTTCGCTTAGCCTTCTCTCTACGTGGCCCTGGATCACTTCGGGGTGGACTGGCCTTGACCGCCTGGGCAGCGCAGAGCTGGATCCAGGCAGGGCACAGGGACCGCAGCCGTATGAACTGCCACCGTTTTAACATATTTAACATCGATCAACATCGATCATCGATTAGCGAGGTATTTAACTTAAGGATACTTAAACCATATGACATGGTATGAAGCTTAGCACAGCCGGTTTCATGTGAGCAGCACTTCGCCGTACCAATGACAAGACGTTGCATAGCTATGCATAGTTTTGCTACTTTTTCTTCCAGACCGATTTCCAGAACTTCAGAGCGCAGACAGCAAATTGGGAGGTCCTCAGGCTGCAGGAGTGGCCAGTTCTATTGCAGATTTTTGTCCCATGGCTTCAAATCAGAGACTGTCAAGAAATTCAAAACTCTTGGTGAATTTGTGCTCCTATTGATTGGATGCTTCTGGGACATTAAAGTGCTTCGCAAGACTAAGGTTCTTGGACTGGTGGTGCTTGTTTTGTGGACTCAGATACAGAGATGGCTTCCCTTCGTGCGTCTTTGATTCCTTGGAGAGTTTCTGATCAGCTGCACAGCCAAACAACACTCCGTTGGGTCAGCGAGGGCCCTGAAGACACACCAAGTCAGCGACCAGCTACAATGATACGCGACACAGGGACAATCAGAGGTCGCAGACACGTCGGAAATCCGAGCACACCGAGTCCGTCACAGTCTTCCTGCTGTGCTGCCGTGCTGTTGCAGTCGTTCGGCGCTTTTCGACGGAGTTCTCGCTCGGTCGCGGAGAAGGCGAACAACGCAACGTGGCTCAGCACGGCTCGGCGCCAACGAAACCAAGGACTGAGCGACTCTGACTCTGCAGATCTCTGCTTGCCGGAGAAAAAGCAATCTAAGCATCTTAAAATATCTTAAACATGTTAACTAAACATGTTAATCAATTTGTACTTCATGTTAACTAAACTTGTTAAATATTCGAGTCGCTTCGCGACGAGAACCGCCCGCACCCAGGGAATAGGACAGAGAGGAAAGAAGCGGGTCTACTTGGCCCAACCAAAAGCCGACATGGGGTCAAACGCAACTTGGTCTTGTATGGGCATCGCACCGAAGTTATCGAAGTTGGGCCCAGTGGTCATGTTGGGCTGGAGCTGGGCCCAAATCGATACCGATAGTCCCCGAATTAGTGATGCACATGGACACCCAGGTCATGTGCAACATTGCGCAACATCGGACCCTTTAGCGCTAGCTTCGCACCAAGTTGGGCCCAAGGTACGCACAACCTGAGGAAGATTGCTTAATACGAAAAACGCGGAAAATTCCAGCCATGTCGGACCGAAACGGCGCATTGGCCGCATTGGGACAATGTTGGGCTGATCTGCGCAATGCGCATATTACCACAGTCCCGTGCACTTTTTGGCGGCGGCGATCCTGAAAATGGCACCCCCCCCGCTGAAGCTGTACCAGACCGACAGATCGGTCCATTCGTCGCGTCCAAACTACCACGCCTCGGCACCTTAGGTGCAGGCAGACTCCTTTCCCTACATTTTTACATCATTTTGCATTTTGCATCCCTATCCTCAAACAAATTTTGGCGGTACAAGTAGGGAAAGCACGCAACAAGCGGTTCATGCCTTCAGGCTGCAGCGAGTGTACATTGTACACCCAGTGCAGTAAGTGAAAATGGTTGTTCTTCTGAAGCAACTCCAAAGGCCGCAGTTGTTGAAAAAGCAGAGACAGAATCTGGACGTTTTGAAATTACAAAGCTTCAATTTGGATAGAAGTCTTGGCATGTGGAATGATGAATGCCTTTGCATTGGCTTTCTCTCGCGTGTCCCATTCCTATCCATTTTCTGGTATTGCTCATGCAGCATCCACCGGCTCCAACGCTCAGGTCCGGGACTTTTGGTCCCCCCTATCTTCTGCGAAAGCGCGAAAGCAGGCCAGTGCGTCCACCACCCACGCCGCAAAGTTTGGCTGTCAAAGTGCCTGGAAGATTGAAATCATGATGACAAAGCATTATGATGATTCTGATGATTATTCAAAACAAGTTTAGTGTAGCAATCTTCGAGTTACAGGCGATTGTCATGGTCAGCTTTTCCGTCATCATGTCAACCACATCGTCATGTCAGCCATCCATCACATAAACTAGTTGGGAAGTGCAACAACAGTTCGGTCGCGCATGAATTCGTGGGTGAAAGCACTCTCCGGCGCGAAACCCTGTGTTTTTTCGGGTACCGGGTAAAGTTGCTTCCATGGTCACCGAAGGGTCTCTGTTTCCGCGGGTTCGGGGCTCTATCTGCAAAAGTTATCGACAAAAGTGCACAGCACTGTGCCGGCAGTTTGATTTGCACTTGAAAATTGTCAATTTTTTTTAAAAAAAATAGGTGCGCGGGGCGCTTTTGGAAGATGAGGTCGGCAAAAATGTGCACCAGACTGTACTGTAGGGAGAGCTCGGTTTCACATCAAAATCGTAAAAATGGCATGTTCGGAGCAGTGCCGGATTTGTGGGGTCGGGTTCCCATTGTCAGCGCCGCACAAACGTTGGTCGATTCACCGCAACACTCCTTCTATGTGGGTGTGCGATGGATTGTGACAAAACGCATTGGCACCGCTGCGCGCAGCATCTGTGAATGCACGGGTGGAAACATTCTTGGGCACGAAACCCTGAGTTGGTTCGGGCAAAGTGGGCTACCCGTGGGTATACGGCGACGCGGGCCTGTAGCTGTTGTTTTCACCTATGGAAGAACTATGTTATTATCAGGGGTGGGAGATTGCACTGTGTCGTTGTGGGCTTCCGTCACCGGCGACAGATAGATAGGGAGATAGATAGATATGTAGATTGTGAGATAAACAGCTCCAGAGTCGAAAACTTGCAATCAAGTCTTTCCAGCTCACAAACAATCCCTATAAGCAAACCTGACCTGTTCCTATACTAATCTCCTATTTTCGAAACTTCCACCCCGGCGCGTGTCCGGACTATGCTGGGATGATTCTGCTTTCATCAAGCAACGCCTATCTGAGGCCTATCTCAATTATCTGAAAACTTTGTAAATTCAGCTTGAAGCGGAACGAAATGTCCAGGTGATGCGTGCCCGCGCAGACGTGGAGGTTGGCCTCGGCATCGTCATGCTTGCAGGAGTCCAAACCTCAGGGGTGAGCCCATCCAAACCCCTTGACCGAATCGCCCGGCGCAAAAAACATGGCCACTTAACATTTTTTTGGCATCTTTTGACTATTTTGCGGCTAAAACTGAATCTGTTTCAACAACAGAGCCACGTTCTAAACCCTTGTGTTCATGTTAAGCAAGGGGCCCCTTGTAAGGGTGTGGCGTAAGCAAAACTGTGGTGCGCGTAAGCCAGCGTAAGCTCCGCGTAAGACAAGATATGCGCGTAAGCAAAACCTGTGCGCGCGTAAGCAAGACTTAAGCAATGGCGTAAGCATTTCCTTATTTGGTGCCAGGATGTGAGACATTTAGAGACATTTAGAACATGGCTAACAGAGTTCTAACTCCGACTACTGTTTCTTCAGCATGGCTGACAGGCTCTTACTCTCAGCTAGAAATTCTGTCAAACATGGCTAGTAAGGCCAGTCTGTATTTTTCTCTTCTCGCAAGACCCAGACTCTATTCGGCTATATTTGCAGCAAAAGCGGCCCCCTTTGGCTAAACAAGTTTGTACAGATCAGAGGGTGAGAGAGAGAAAGAGAGCGCTGCAATCGGCAGACCAACTTAGCGGAATTTTCATGCCTCTTCGGATGGGTCTGCTGCATTTCCTTTGTCCATGCCAAAGTTTGAGCCATCAGGCTCTTTGCATGTACTGCGCGCCCATCACCGTCATTCTTTTCTGGAACGTCATGATGATGAGGTGCAGGGTTTTCCTCTATGTTTGAAGACGTTTGAAGTAAATATTGGTTCGATAGACATATATCAGTTCTAAGTTTGTTTCAAGAAGCAGAAGCACTCATGAAACACATATAGTACAGAGGGTTTTGCCCTGGCTGGAAACCAAACGGGTGCTGACGGGTTTCATTTCTTGAGCCATTTGCAGTGGCAGGTACATGATGAGCTCTTGGACACAGGCGCTGGTTTGTCCTTGATTTGCATGGGTGAGCCGGGAGCATGCAGAGCTTTGAAGGACTCCTTCCAGAGGATCGACAACTTTCTCAACCCAATACTCATGAAAGTGCACCATGCTGAGACTGCTCAGGGACTACGGTCCGCCAGAAAGGTCGATATGGCATGTGCCTTTTTGTGACTAAAACAGTTGAACCTGGGCGCTGGTTACTCAGGCCCGGAATAAAGCAAGGCTACCAGGCCATCAGAAAAGTGAATTTCTGGTCAGTGTGCCCATCAACTTTTTATCATTTTTCTTACGTAATCACACAATTCGTAATCATGACCTTCAAATGGATTTGTGTTTGGCAAATTTCAGCTGGGCGACAGGCTTTGAAAGGATGGCTCTACAGCTACGTGGACCCGCAGTCCAAGAGTGCTGGTACCCCCCTTGGCAGACAACAGATGATGGAATATGAAAGAAGCGTCAAGTGCTGTCAGATTGATCCACAGAGACATTTCGCGATGTTATAAGGTAAGCTTTGCACCATCCTCTGAATATCTATGAAGTCAGGATGATCTGGGGATGACACAAGAAGCTGGTGAACAACACCGCTTTTTGGCATTTCGTATTGCGACACAGCGGCAGCCAAAGCTTGGCTAGCACTGGCTTGTACACAGTCAGAGATGCAAGCCATAGAGATTGTGTAAAGCAGCAGCATTTGTGACATTTTGATACACATTCTGTGGCGCCAAAGTCCGCTTTCCTGACTTCCGTACTTGTCACAGATGCAGCTGCTTACCTCCAAAGACCAGGGCCAAAGTTGCCAAAGTTTGCTTGCACGAGCTTCACAAGGCCTTTGCCAAGTCAAGGATTGCTGTCATGGGGTTCCGACATATTTCGACTGCGTAGGTTTCAGCTAGACTGCTCCTATCTGCTCCTTACGACACTGGTTTGGTCAGGTCCAAACAGCTGCGGTCAGACCCGATCAACAATTGAACATGTGAATGAGCTGCAAAGTGCTTGTCGCAAGATATCGCAAGCCGCCTTTGCGCTTTCCACTTCTGAGGGCTTAAGATTTATTTCCAAAGCGCTCACAATGCCCAATTCTATGTCAGTTTAACAAAGTGCTTCCGCCGTCAACTCTGGCCTTTGCGTTCCCTTTCGCTCATGGCGAGCCCACCATCTTCCACACCTTTCATGTGGGCGGAGTGCATTTTCGCACGACAGGCTCGAGAATGATGAGAATGGTCTCGTGACAGGATACTAGAGTGGTAGCTTTGGTTGCCACATCATCCAAGCCGCAGTTTTGTGAAACATAGAGTCTGCTGAGATCTGTGGAGTGTATAGATATCTGTCAAGATCTGTAGATCCTTTGAGACCTCGACGAACCATCCTCGAACTGTGAACAGCTGAAGTAGCGAAGTAGCTCGATGAAACTCGAATCTTTCAGATATATCTTTCAGCTTGTGAGGCAGTGTCATTACAGGTGGCATCAAGATTGTGTCGGAGCCTTGGTACACCACAGGTTCATGGAAAGAGCTCAATGTTCTTTGATTTTCTTTGATGTGCTTTGGCTGTGAGTTCAAAGTTGTAGATTCTGTGTCAGTGCGCATGGTTCTTCAGTTCTCACAGCTGGTTAGTAGAAATCCTGGACTTGGCTTTCCCCAGGCTTGGTTGACATTGCCTCCATGCTTGCGGCGGGCAACTCATTGCACTGACAAAGAGAAAATGGTGCAGAATAGATTTCATCACAAAGGAAATGCCATGACAATGCCATGCATGTTCATTCGGTCGCCAGTTCACAAGTGATACACCGTGGATCGCTGCGCATCGCTGCGCATCTCTGCGCATCGCTGCGCATCGCTGTGGTCCAAGGTCTGTGCCACGACAGCAGCGGTGTTCCGAGAGGTTCGGAGTCCCAAAATGGAGACAGCGTGGCAGCGCTGGCAGCGCCGTCAGACTGTTGTCAAACCATTGTCAAACCGTTGTTCACCGTTGTTCACCGTTTGTTGAGAACGGTTCGGCCAATTTGGTGCTGCACTTGTACAGTTGCTGCCTGCGGTGGCATTGCGATGAGAATTGCGATGGTTCTTTTGTTTCAAGAAGACTGCGTTTGAATCGTTGATCTTGTTTACTGTTACATGTGCCGTGGTTGACTGCAGGCAGGATCGTTGACCATTGCCAAGCATCTCGGAAAAAGGATAGAGCAGTACCAAGCACTTCAAAGCACTTCGGATTGAGCACTTCATGGCATGATACCATTGATGCACAGCGCACACAGCCCATACCAAGGTCAGGACAACACAGCGGGAGACTCAGGAAACACCAGCGGAGCGGAGTAGAATGCAAAGTGCCGGTGGAAGTTGACTTTGCGAATCCGCCTTCCAAGTTGACCGAGAAGCAGGATGCGCAGTTTTCAACATGACCCTTTTCATGTCACTCAGCCTTTTTCCTTTCATTCCTATCAGTGATCTATGATATCTAGGTACTCCACGGTATTCTCCATTGGACTCCAGCATGTTGATTTGTCAGATTTGTCAGGTGAATCTACGATGATGGATTTGGTATGCTGTGTGAAGCCGCCGTGTTTGGGCGTGTAAGAGTGTAAGATGCCATCGGCTTATCAGCTCGCGCCAGGCCCTGGGGGCATCCTTGAGCAGCGGCCTGATGGAAACGTTGCAAGGCCCCGAAATTGGAAAAGAAGCTGCGCCCGGACTCGGACTCAGTCGGACTCAGTCGGACTCAGTCGGACCAGTTGTGCCGTATACCTTTCTTTGGAAAATCTGAAGTTAGCAGTTGGTAACAATTCATATTCCTACTTCCGGAAAACCATGCCTTTGACATTGCACCCGTGGCATGAAAAATGCAACGGTTTCGAGCACCATGACTTTGTTGCAGGCCTGGTCCGGTGTTGACCTCAGTGTTCTGACTGCCCAAAGCCAGAAACATGCTTAAACCAAAGTTTGCATCGACAAGCATGTTCAACATGCTGAAGTATAATGTGCGACTATGCGCCAAGATTCCGTTACGTGCTTGCATCATGCAAGTACCTCTCAAGACAAATGGCAGCATTAGAATCCTCCCGGAGAGGAAAGACAAATTAGACACATTAAACACAATAATTCACGCAAATTTGATAGCCTGGCAGTCTTGTTTTCAGGTCTGAGGTGTTTTGCCATGTTTTGGTCTTTCCACGTAGCTCGGCTGAGGTTTCCACACGGTCGGCCAATCCTGTGCCATGCAGCCTCCTCCGGCCGCCCAGATGTCAGGGCTCCGAGATTCGTACTGTGGTGAAGCACATTGAAAGCAATGAAACACAACATATGTACATATATATATATATATTTGTATGTATATATATTATATATGTATATATATATATGTACATATATATATATATCTATATTTGTAAATATATATATATATGTATATGTGTATATATAAATGTACATGTATATATATGTATATGTATTTATGTATATATGTATATATATATATGAAAAATTCAATGCAGCTGTTGATGCAGTCTGTTGTACAGCTGACGCTGTGCTCTGTTGAAGTGCGCCTTTTGTTGCACACGCTGTATTGTTGTCTTGCCACACTGTTGTATTAACAGTTGGCTACCGGGCTGACTCAAGTCTGACTCAAGGCCTTGTGTTGAGCCAAGATGTTGAACCAATACCAAGACATGTTGGAGAACCATTTTGCCCAAGGGAATGCATAGTTGATATTTAACATCCCCTCTTGAATTGGTGTTGCACATTGTTGCACACCATTTCATCACTAATCACATGTTGAACAGCAACTATATTAAAGTTGTTACATTGTTGGAGGTTCCAACCTGTACACTTTACAGACTGTTGAACGGAGTAAATCTGTTGTCTGGCTGGGATGTTGAGAGCCAGTACACAGATGTTGATCTAGTCACTCAGTTGTTGACCATCTCCTCGGCCCTGTTTTTTCTTCCAAGTGTCTGTTGGCACTTGGAGGTCAGAGCTTCTGCCATGTTGGCTGTTCTCAGCTGTTGTCTCACTATGCCATCCTTATTGATTGGTAGAGTTGAGACTCCTCGATCTGTTGCTCTTCGATGTCGTTCTCTTCCATGTTGTCCTCGGCATGCTGATGGTAGTTGTTGAAGGCCTCCATGCAACTTTTCCAGTTGAACGTGTTGTGCAACCAGTTGCAAATCTGGTCGTTGCCTCGAAGACGTTCTGTTGTCTTCGCTCCTGCTAGACTGAATTGTTTCGAGGCATGGTGGTGCATGTTGTCACTGATCAGATTCCATAGACGTTGTCCTTCTTGCTGGGGGGCTGTTTAGACACGTAGCTTCACCATACTCAACTGCGTGTAGTAGAGCTTGCCAATGATCACTCTCACTGTTGGTGACCACAGCTGTTGGGAACACGTAGTTGTAGGTCCAAAGGAAGCTGTTGGACCATGACAGAGTTGTGGCAATCTTTGCCATGACTGCCTGGTCATTGTTGGACATCAGTGTCCAATGTTGCGTCGAGGAAATCTCATCTGTTGTGAATCTCCACGTTGATCCACATTCCACTTGGACTTGGGGTATGATGTATGCCCTGTTGAACAGATTCACGGTCTTGTTGCCAAGTCGAACAAATTGCTGGTCTTTGTTGTTGTTGACCATGATTGAGGTCAAAACGTACTGCTCCTTGTTATCAGTCACAACGTGTCCTTCTGTTGCGTGAAAGAAGGTTGTTGTGACAGCTCCTGTTGGGCTCTTCGACAAAATCATCTTGTCGAGGCTGGGCATCAATGTTGAACCCATGATGCCACGCAGTTGACCAGTCTGTTGATCAACCATGGCTTGATGAAGCTCTGTTGGAACACAGAGCCACCATGTCTCCATGTCATGTTGGTGAGTCTCTTCGTGGAACTGTGGATCCAAATTGGTCATGTTGACAGTAGGTGAGAGCTTGATGGCTCTTGTTGTCAGACCAATTGTTGCCAAGGAAATCGTGGCTGGGATCCTGGCTGTTGGACCCTGGTTCACGGCGATGTTGGTCAGCGACATCGTGTTGGACCCAAAGTTGTTCTTATCGGTCCCGCTGATCGCAGCTGTTGAGAAAACGTTACGGCTGCGGTAAACAAAAACATGTTGAGTCTCACTGTTGTCGAAAAAATGTTGACTCTCAAAATTCCAAAAAATCAAACCGTTGAATTCTTCAAACTGTTGAATTCCGAGCTCAGCAAAAAGAACATGTTGTGAATCACAGACATGTTGTGTGGGACGTGTACATACACTTCACCAATGCAGTCAACATTCATGTTGAGATAGTACATATCGAGAATCGTGTGGAAATACGTGATGGGATATCATGTTGATATGCTCCAGGATGTAGTTACAGCAAAAGGTTGATCAACTATTGTTGATCCGATGGCTAAGGATTGTGAAACTTGTATGTTTTGGTGCACACACGCTGCAGTAAGTGCTGGTGTTGCTGCTCGCTTGTTGCAAGCTGCTGATGAAACTGTTTGCTTGTGGTGAATGTTGATCAGTCTCACGCAGTCGTGTGAGATCACTTGTTGAATGAAAAGATGTTTGAGTTCAATGTGTTTTGCTTTTCTTGGGGATCTAATTCTTGTGGCTATGCTCTTGCCACTTGACGAGTCTGTGTGGATCGATGTTGATCTTGTTGATGTTGAGAAGCTCCATCAAGAGGCTTCTGATGTGAAGTGCTTCTGTTGTGCCTGTGTTGATGGCACACAGCTCGGCCTCTGCACTTGAGAAGGGAATTGTTGCCTGCGTTCTGCTTCCATAGCTGATTGTTGTTCCAAGAAGCGCAATGACAAATCCTGTTACTGATCTCCTTGTTGTCGGACATCCTGCCCAATCGCTGTCCACAAAAACGTTGAGATCAGGGATTGCTTTTGCTGGGAAGCTTCACTGTTGGTCGGATGATCTGCTTGTAGTGCTTTGTTCCGTTGATGTATCTGAGAAGGTGCTTCAGCTTTTGTTGGTCGGCTGTTGTTGGCTGCTGCAGTGCTCTTGCTAGTTCTTTTGTTGCATAGCTGATGTCGGGTCGTGTGTGTGTGTATGTGGAACATCTGAATAGATGTAAAACTTCTAGCTCGCTTCTTATGGTTTGGAAACTTTGCTTTGATTCTTATTTTTGATTTTGAACATTGTCACAGCAGGGGGCTGCAGGGAATGTCATAGTTCTGCAGCCAACGAAGACGGCTATGACATTCTGTGATATCGATCCGGGACGCTGGATCGACGTACCTGCCAATTTTCTTGAATGGGAAGAGGCTCAACCCTAGAACCTCCATGTCGATTTCCTATTTTCAAATCGCTTCAAACCAAAACCCAAATCATTTTGTTTCATGTCAGTACCTGTACGGCTTTCGCAATCTGATTTACTGCTGACTTCGTCAGATGGAACAGTTGCATCTAGCACGGACGTAGAAAGAATCCTTCTTCACTGTTTCTCACGCCTAGTCATCCACTTTCTCCTGTCAGGTTTAAATGAAGTGTTTGTGCACGTGCGATGCATTCCACATCAGTAATTCGATAAGATATTTCTGAGCAAGTGTGTCTCTCCTGCTGCATACGTCAAGTTGGCAGGAACCCTTCGGGGAAAGCCTTTCTAGGCTAACAATGGACAGTAAAACGACGTCTGAATTTACACTTTTGAATTAGTAATTCGTCTAAGTAAAGTGAACTGCTGGCCTTACTTCAATTTTCACCCATCGGTCGAGTGCGTGTTGAACTGCTGGCCGCTGTGCTTGGCTCCACCAATTTTCAGAGATGCAAGGGTGCGTAGTCTGGTGCTGCGACAACAATCCTTCCGTTATCTCAAGAGACTGCCCGCAGCCATTTTGACATGGAACTTTAGGCAAGAGGACATGCTTTCCAGGTGTGGTCACTTCTTTTTTGGTTTCTCGGTGAGGTCAAAATTGTGCACGTAATTCAGGGGTTGAACACGTAAGCCGTCGTACAGAGGGTTGTGACTTGAATGCCGAGGGCCTTTGAGCCGTATCACGAATCTTGCATGCAATGTGGATGCATCTTTTCATTAACTAGTTCCCCATGGGTCCCTTATTTCATGTGTTCCTGCGTTCTCCTCTCTCCAGGTAGGTTGGGTTCTGCGCGTGCTGAGGTAGGCGTAGGTTCGCTGTGGTAGGTTGGTTCAGGCGCGTCCGTCCTCCCCCCCTCCGCTGGTCTTTTTCCGTTTCCGTCTGCCTCCGCTTTTCTTTTTCCTTGCCTTTTCAGGGTTTGCCCGTGGTGGGCCAGGTTTCCTTGTGTTGGTGTTTTCTCTTTCCCTCTGCGTTGCGTTCCCCTCTTCGCGTCCTGGTTAAGTAACTTTCATCTCATTTTCATCTTCACCTCATCTTCATTTCCCTTCATTATCTCATTATCTTCATGTTTATTTTCATTTCACTGTCCGGACCTTAATTTTTCACCCTCCTGCGGGAGGGTGTGTGTGTGTGGAACATCTGAATAGATGTAAAACTTCTAACTCGCTTCTTATGGTTTGGAAACTTTGCTTTGATTCTTATTTTTGATTTTGAACATTGTCACAGCAGGGGGCTGCAGGGAATGTCATAGTTCTGCAGCCAACGAAGACGGCTATGACATTCTGTGATATCGATCCGGGACGCTGGATCGACGTACCTGCCAATTTTCTTGAATGGGAAGAGGCTCAACCCTAGAACCTCCATGTCGATTTCCTATTTTCAAATCGCTTCAAACCAAACCCAAATCATTTTGTTTCATGTCAGTACCTGTACGGCTTTCGCAATCTGATTTACTGCTGACTTCGTCAGATGGAACAGTTGCATCTAGCAAGGACGTAGAAAGAATCCTTCGTCACTGTTTCTCACGCCTAGTCATCCACTTTCTCCTGTCAGGTTTAAATGAAGTGTTTGTGCACGTGCGATGCATTCCACATCAGTAATTCGATAAGATATTTCTGAGCAAGTGTGTGTGTGTCATCCGTTGGAGTTTCCCGACTGCTCGTCTATATTGAGCGTGCTCTTCTGCTGAGAGTGCTTGTTCGTGGTCTGCTGTTGCTGTCTTCAGTGCTGTATCCTGGTGCTGGTGCTGGCTTGCTGTCCTGCAGATTTGTCTCTGTCAGGAGTGTTGTGGTGTAGTCATCTGCTAAGCTCATCTCATAGTGGTCTCCTCTGTTGGTGATGTTCCTGCCAAGGAATGCTACTGTGTTTCCTGGTAACAGGGTGCCTGTTGGTCGAAGAGCTTGTTGATGACCTGTTCCTCGCCAAGGAAGATAAGGCAGGCC